TCTTAGTCAAAAGGTCAGATGACCGCAGTCCTGGCTGACATCATGAATACAACCTCCTCAGAGACCCTGAGCAGGAACTACGCAGCTAAGCAGCTCCCAAGTTCCCGACCCACAGAAACTATGAGATAATAAATGTTTGTCATTTTAAGCCGCTAAGTTTTAAGGTGCTTGTTACACAACAGCGAATGACTGATGTAGCAATTATATGCCACTTGGAATCCTGGACTGGATCTTGGACCAGGAAACGAACATTAGTAGGACCACTAGCACAATTAAAATAAAGTCTATAGATTAGCCAAAAGTATTATATCAGTGTTAGTTTCCCAGTTTCGGTAACTGTCTTACCGAAGATGTATAAGATGTTAGTCTTCAGAAAAGTTCTGTGAAGGGAATACAGGAACGCTCTGCAGTTTTTGCAATTTTTTGTAAGCCTAAAGTCATTTCAAAATAAATATCCCTAATGAAAGGAGAAGGAATAAAATAATAAAGAACAGAAATTAATAAAATACAAAGCGTAATGGAAAAAAATCAGAAAACTCAAAATTTGATTCTTTGATAATACCAATAAAATTGGCAAACCTGGCAACATGGATTCAGAATAATTTTTTTAAAAGGAAGGCATAAATTAACAGGAATGAAAAGGGATATATAACTACATGTTAGACAATAAAAATGTGAGACTATTATGAACAACTTTATGCCAACTTTTACATTTATATGTCATATATGAAATATGTATTTATTTTATGTATTTATACTTAAGTTGATATGAAAATAGACAAGTCCCTATAAAAAATATAACGGCAAAACTAAGACAAGCAGAAATAGAAATCCTGGTTAGTCTTATAATATTAAACAAATTGAATCAGTAGACAAATCTTATCACAAAGAAAACTCCAGGTCTATCTAGCTTCACCAGTAAGATTAACCAAACATTCAAAGAACTAATAATGGTATCTTGTACAAATCCTTCCACCTTCCCCCACACACGTAATAAAAGCAGCATGCTTGACACCAAAAGCTAATACTGCAGGCTCGTAAACATGGATGTAAAAATCCTAAGCAAATTATTAGGAATCTTATCTAGTAATGTGTAGAAAAGACAAACGCACTGTGCCCAAGTTGGATTTATTCTAAAAATGCGAGGTCGAGATGCAAAATTTAATTAACAGATTAGAGGCGAAAAATTGCACCATCTCAATGAATGCAGAGTGTGCATGTTGCCATGCCCAGTGAAGCAGACTGCGCAGGGCACACCATACCAGTAGGGGACATGTTGCAGGAAGTGACACCAGACAGAGGAATTCGGATTAGTTAGAGGAAGGAGAATTTATTAGGCCAGCGGAGAATATGGGGTAACAACTCCATGCACAAGCTCGCTCTAGTTAGATTTATTACAGTTTATGTACTTCTGCAGTGTCCCTGCAAGGGGCATGTGATTCCTTTGTCTGAGATTTCACATGTGCCTCTTTTCTTAGGATGAGGAGGGGGAGCTTTGGGTGGGGGCCTGCAAGCGGGGAGGAATTTCCAGACTACTGGTCTTACGGGTCGTTTGTTTTGTAGAATCCACAACCTTGGCATTATCAGCACCATTATAAGATTCTTGAGCAGAGAGACGGGACACCTAGGCTAGAAGCAGGGGGCAGCACTTATGGATGCCAGCACCTGCTCAGCGGATTCCTGTCCAAAGGCTGAGCTCCAACTGTAACATAACAAGCAGTTTTACACAGTCTTGTTATTCCTACACAGCTACAGAGGTAAGGAAGAACATCAGTTGGTTGGCAAGCCATTAACCAACAGATGTGAGCTGGAGAGTCCTTGAGGTGGGGGATGGAGCTATGGGAAACATGTTAGCTGGAGAGCACTGGGCGGCATGTGGGGAGAGAGCAGTTTTAACCGGCTGAGTCAGTCATTTCTGCAGGCCTTTCCATTGCATTTTCTCAGATGCCTCCTCTCCTCTCTGCCTCTAATATTTCACAGTTTTAAAAACTGAACTCAACATGCTGCCTCTAAACATGTTGTCTCTGGGATTATCCATCTTAGAGAATAATTCTCTCTACCACACAGGAGCCTGGGCCACTTGGCTGCTCCCTGTCCCTGTCCCTCTCACTTACGCAAATCCTGACTTCTGGCCCTCCACACCTTCAGCACCTCCATCCATCCTGCCCAGCCCAGAGCAGGCTGTCTTTGTTCCTCTGTGAGCGGCTGCATCAGTTCCCAGATCACTCTTCCTACTCCAACTGGCACTCCCCTCCCTCCACCAGCCCCCCACTCAACTGAGGCCAAGAGGATATTTCCCAGCACGGATCTACTCAGCCATCTCCTGCTCAACCCCTGCAGTATCTTCCCACTGATGGTAATATAAATCTCAGTTATTAAGCTATTTACTCGTCCCATTTTTCAATACTAGTTGTTATCTATCACCAAGCATGGCCTTTGAAAACTTCCCTCTCTTACGATCTGCTTCACTGTCTATATCCCTCACTTCTGGCCAAATGCAGGTCTCCACAGAAGTCCAGGGGGCCCTAGGGAATAGCAGAGCCACAGCCAGATGGTGAGAACCTGGGTTCTCCAACAGCCAGGTGGAAGCCTGCCTTCCGATTGCTCTCCCCTCTACCAAAGACACCTGGTGTATCAGTTATCTGTGGTGTAAAAATTACTCCAGAACATTGTGGTTTAAATTTTTAAAAAATTTATTATCTCATTGTGCTGTGGGTCAGGAATTCAGGAACAACTTAGCTGGGAGAGACTCACAGTCTCTCACGAGGTTTGTAGTGAAGATGTCAGTGAGGGCTGCAGTTACCTGAAGGCTTAGCTGGGGCTGGAGGCTCCCCTTCCAGGGGGCTCACTCACATGGCTATTGGTTGTAGGGCCTCAGTTCCTCACCACATAGACCTGTCCCTAGTGCCTTCATGCCATGGCAGCTGGCTTCCCTGCAAGGGAGCAATCCCAGACAGAGAACAAACAGGAAACCAAAGAGCCTTTTGTGACCAGGTCTCCAACGTCTCACACCATCATTTTCATTTTATTCTACGCATTAGAGGTGAATCACTGAGTCCAGCTTACATCCAAGAGGCAGGGGATTAGGGCTCATCTTTGGAAAAGGAGAGAATCAAGAATGTATGGACATATCCCCAAACCACCACATCTGGTAGGAAACTCCAACCCTGGCCGAAACCCATCCATCCACCCACTTGGTACCTGCACCAGAGGGGAAAGCAGATCAGATAACCAGAGGCTGTTTCACTTTGAACTCCCTGGGGCTCATGCTTCCTGGCGGTTCTTCTCTGGTAAGTTCCCAACCCTCTTTCTGAGATAACTAATCACAATTTCTCCTCGCTCCTCTAATCTCCAA